GCATCTCTGTCTGTACGTATTTGATTATTATGTCATAATTGGTTGCACTTGGTGCTTGGAACCTGTGTGTGTCTATAAAGTCATTGGGCAGATTTTATCGGTAATTTTTATCACGTCTACTAATTAACATGACATAAATTTTTATGCTTCCTCCTCAAATATAATTCATTTTTTTAATTTGCTGATTTTGTGTGTGTGTGTGCTTATTTTACTTTTTTTGTTGTTGTTTTATAAGACAAGGTCTCACTATCCCGTGCTGACCTGAAACTCACTGTATAGACCAAGCTGTTCCTGAACACATAGTAGTCATCCCACCTCAACCTTCTAAGTACTGGGATTATAGGCATGAACCACCATGCCCAGCTCCAGAACTCTACTTTCAGTGGGGTGAATCAGGGCTAAAATGAATGTCAACTATATTGTTCATTTTTACAAACAGATTTTCACCTCAGCTTGTTAGCCTCTGAAAGGACATAGGAAGATTGTTATAATGGAAAATTTCTCTCTCTCTTTTAAATGTTATAGGCAGAACAAGCTGCTGTCACCTCTGAATTTGAGAGCTACAAAGTCCGAGTTCATAATGTTCTAAAACAACAGAAAAATAAGTCTGTGTCTCAGGCTGAAACTGAGGGAGCTAAACAAGAAAGGTAAAGTCTAATGTTTTCTCCTCATGAACACAGGTTCTTGCACAAGTAAGTTTTTTAATAATAAAACTAAATAAACAAGAAAGGTGAAGTCTAATGTTTTCCCCACAAGAATACAGGTTCTTGCACAAGTAAGTTAAAAAGCCCATTTTGATTGCTTTTGAATGTAGGATGTTAGATGTAATTGCTAGTGAACAGAGTGTTTCTTGACTTCACCGTATTTCTAGATATTACCTGGGAAATCACAGCAAGGGCACTATTGCAAACTCTAAAGGACATTAAAAAGACCTGTGAAGCCAGAATTTGGTCTCTGAGCTATAGACTGAAGGTTTGCTGTTGACTTAATACAACCTGGCCATAGTAGAAATTTAAGCATTAAAATTGTATTTACATTATTGTGTTCATGACTGTCTCCATTTGATTTGAATAGAGTTTAATGCTAGGTTAAAATTGCATCCAGGTCCATTTTTTAAATTGTTCAAAATATACCAAGAACAAGAGCTGGTTAGGGCATCCTTGTGGCATGTATGTCTTGATTTCATAGTAGAACTTATTCATATTTTTATACCTGCTCTTACAGTTCTGAACAGGACTAATGGTACTGCTCTGTTTGGATGCTTGGGTTTATGTTTCTATTACTTTTTGTTTAGAAATCTATTAAAAATGGGACTAGATAGTCTGCAGTATGAGGTATTTTCTCTTCCAGTAGCCATCATAATACATAAATAATATATATACATAGATATACATATATCATAATACATATCAAGTTAAGTATTGACACAGTACATACAGAATATGACCATTTGGTTTTTTAATAATATTTTATTATTTGAGAATTTCATAAAAGGTGTTTTGGTCATATTCACACTCCCTCCCCATCTCCTCTTATACCCACCCCCACGTACTTACAACCCCTACTTTGCGTCCGCTCTATATTTTTTTTTTTTCCCAAGACCTATTGATTCCAGTTTGGGTTCTCCAAATGTTTTTGGGTGTGGGTCCATCCCTGAAACCTGGTCAACCTACCTGACATCCTTAAGGAAAACTGACTTTCCCCTCTCCCAGCAGCTATCAGTTACCAATAGTTCTTCAGCTAGAGTTGGGGCTTCATGACCTCTTCCCTCCATGATGAGATTTTTGTCTGGTTTGGGCTTAAACAGGTCTTGTGCATGCGGTCACAACCACTGTGGGTTCTTTTGTGTACCTGACCTGCTGTGTCCAGAGAAGACTTTCACTGTATTCATCCAATACTTTTGGCCTTTCCCCTCCTCTTCCATAATGCTCCCTCAGCCTTTGGGAACGGAGTATGATAAAGATGTTCATTTAGGGTTGAGCACTCCACAGTTTCTTACTCTTTGCACATTGATCAGTGTGGGTTTCTGTGTTAATTACCATCTGCAAAAAAAAAAAAAGATTGAGAGTTGACTAATCTGTGGGTAAAACAGTCATTAGGAGTCAGTTTACTACTATGTCCATTTAGCAGCATAATGGTAATAAGTTCTCCCCTAAGGCCTGCAGCCTGTTTAGCCATAGGTTAATATCACCCTTCAGAAGAGCCATTTTTGAGCATGCAATTTTGAGTTTTAAACTACTTAATTGTAAACATTTTAAGTTCCTTTTAGTTTGTTATACATTTTTAGGGAGCTGGTAATGTATGAATTTTGGAAGAACTGTGGTTTTAATTGTTGACACCTAAATTTTATTCTAATTCAAAAGAGACTTCCTCCTTTTCTTCCAGTTGTCTTTCGCTGTAGTTTGGCCTAACATCCCATCCTCATAACAGCTAACTTTGAACTATATAAGATTTGTTTTTTTAACTAAGGACAATCTGTAATATATAACATTGCCTATTTTGGTACCATTTAATACTCTATTCCATTTTAATATGAAATGTTAGATTCATAGACAAGTCAAATAAGGTGGTACGTACTTTGTAATTCCAACACTCAGGAAGCTGAACTCAGAGTGTTTGTATAAATCTGTAGTACCTGAAATTTACAATCTAACCATAGCATCTTTTTAAAATTATTTTTAATTCTAGTCTTTGAATTCTTATGAATATATTATATTGTGGAAGCTTCCACAATAACAGAAAAGATGACACTAAAACAGCAAATGTGCCGGGCGTGGTGGTGCATACCTGTAGTCCCAGCACTTGGGAGGCAGAGGCAGGTGGATCTCTGTGAGTTCAAGGCCAGAACTACATGATGAGTTCCAGGACAGCTGGGGCTACAGAGAGGCCCTGTCTCAAAAAGACCAAAAAAAAAAACCAAATGTATTTGAAGTTACAAAATGAGGTTCACCACTTTCAAAAAATGTTGTTAAACTGTTTATTTCTGTTTGAGGGAACACCTGGAAATGCTGATTGACCAACTGAAAATCAAGCTACAGGATAGCCAGAATAGCTTACAAATCAGTGTGTCCGAGCTGCAGACCTTACAGTCTGAGCATGACACTCTGCTGGAGAGGCACAACCGGATGCTACAGGAAACTGTGACCAAGGAGGCAGAGTTGCGAGAAAAGTAAGTCAACAGATTCCTTTGGTACCAGGCAAGCAACCTGTACTTCCAATGTGTTGCTCCTTGGGATAAGTACAGATTTGAAATAAGACGTAGGCATTTATAAAGGCTTACCTACCACAAAGCATACTTCTACCTACTACAAAGCTTCCTTGGACTCTTTATCTTTAGCATCAAAAGATTTTTTTTTTTAACTTTATTTTTATTTTATGTGTATCTGCATTTTTTGCCTGCGTGATGTAAGTATGTCTTCTGCTTGTGGAGGCCAGAAGAGGGTGTCTTCTCCCTTGGAACTGGAGTAGGTGGTTGTGAGCTGCCTGACGTGGGTGCTGGGAACTGAGCCCCAGCCCTCTGCAAGAGCAGCCCTTGCTCCTAACCACTGAGCGTCTTTCCAGCCCTATCATTAGCAATTTTTAGATTAACTGTTTGTCTGCTCATCCAATGTTCTACTTCTCTTACAGCCTTTATAATCAGAAAGTTTCTTTAAAAAAAAAATTTAAGTTGGGCATGGTGGCATATGCCTTTAATCCCAGCACTCAGGAGGCAGAGGCAGGCGGATTTCTGTGAGTTCGAGGCCAGCCTGGTCTCCATAGTGAATCCAGGCCAGCTGTGGCTACAGGGAAACTGTCTCAAAAAGACCAAAAAAAAAAAATGGAAAAACAAAAATTGCTTTCTAACCCATGTGTCAGATTACCAGCATTTTTTTTTTTTAATCTCCAAAAGAAAACATTTAAGTAACTAACTGAAAAACAATATAGAACTTAACTTGGCCACTCTGTTCAACTCAACATCCTTTTTAATTGTTACAATGCTTTAGGCCTTAGGAATGTTGACAAAGTAAGTAGATGATTCTCTTGTGAATAACAAACTTAGACCTGCTATAATAAAGAAAGTAGGTGGTAATTTTTAATTCTTTGAGAATTTCATACAATGTATTTTGATCATATTCAACTCCCTTCCCCAGCTCCTCTCACCCAACTTCCCAATCCCCACAACTTCATGTTTCTTTTTTGGTGTTTTTGAGACAGGGTTTCCCTGTAGTCCCAGCTGTTCTGGAATTCAGCTAACCAGGCTGGCCTTGAACTCACAGAGATCCACCTGCCTCTGCCTCCTGAGTGCTGAATTAAAAGTATGTGCCACCAAAAAAAAAGAAAGAAAGAAAGAAAAAGAAAGTAGGTGGTAATGTAGTATCTTAGAATACAGACATGTTCTTTGAACATCTTTGAAAGCACTATTAGGACACTTTACACTCCCAAGTGTGCTGTTATATCTAACCTTTTTATGTCTAATCTTAAGCTAAACCTGAAAAGTTTTAAAGAACTTGGATTTCTTAGCTTATAGTTTCTCTTATCAGTGTAAGTTATATTAACCATGTAAACCAGTAGTTTCAGGGAAGATCTACCAGTTTTTAAACTATTCTTACCAAAGGTGAGCTTATATTAGTGATGAATTAGCTTATATGGGGGCTGGAGAGATGGCTCAGCAGTTAAGAGACTGACTGCTCTTGCAGAGGACAGGGGTTTAATTCCCAGCACCCACACGGTGGCTATCAACCATCTGTAACTCCAGTTCCAGGGGATTGGACACCTTCTTCTAATCTCTGAGGGCATTGCATGACACAGGCACATTTGCAGACATGCAGGCGATGCACTCATATACATAAAATAAAAATAAATACAGAAATTACCTTATGTAGTGATGCTTACCTTATGTACATCAGAAGCTTCAGGTCTTACTCTTTCTTTTTTTACTTTTCTTTTTTTTTTTTTTTTTTTTTTTTTTGAAAGGTGATTCGTTATAAGTAGCCCCAGCTGGCCTGGAACTCACTTTGTAGACTAGGCTGGCCTTGAACCCAGAGATCCGCCTCTGTCTCCCAGGTGCTGGAATCAAAGGTATGCGCCACTGCACCCAGCTTCGGGTCTTACTCTTTATCCTTGAAAGTTTACTATAAATTATTTTGCTAACACAAAGTACATTTGGTGCCTTTAAAGTAATTTAGTCATTACTAAGTATTTCTCAGTACTTACTATGTATCAGTCATTCTAAGTTCTGAAAACAGCTCACAGTGTCTTGAGATGTCTTTAGGAACTTTCCACCCTTCTTCGGAAGTACTAATAAGGCCAGGTAAGGTTGTATACTCCTATAATCCCAACACTTATGCAGAGGTAAGAGAATCACTGCAAGCTGGAAGCCAGCCTTGTCTACATAGCAATTAACAGATCAGCCAGGGACACATAGCAAGACCATAGAAACCACCACCCCTCAAAAAAGGACTAAAAACTAGTATTATTACTGACTGTACCTAGTTATGGAGAAAATAACCTTTCTTTATGCTGTATTTTTTAAGTGTTTAGTCATTGAAACTGTGAAAATGGCCCTAGAAGAATGTGCTAATTAGTTAGGCCAAGCAGGTAATATCTTTATTACTTACAGGGCCCACCTAATAGAATACCCCACTCAAAACTGGGACAAGATTGTGAGCTTCTACCAGAATAGTGTTCTGATCCCACATAAGGAGCTTATAAACATCTAGCCTGCATGTAAATTCACAAATATCACTGATACCACTCAAAGGATAAAAACCTTACCCTAATCTAAAATATTACTTTGTGTGTATGAGAGAAATGCTGGGCATTGAACTCAGGCAAGTGCTGTATCAGTGAGCTGTGCCCAGCTCTCAGAAAACTGTTACGAGATTCTCTTTGCATTCTTAGTAAATATTATTTAACCAAATGCTTACAAAACACTCTGTATGCAAAGACATTTTTTAGACTCCCTAGTCATCATGAACTTAGCAATTAAGATACATTTTCCCAGGGGCTGGAGAGATGGTTCAGCGGTTAAGAACAATGGTTGTTCTTGCAGAAGACCCGGATTCAAATTCCAGCACCCACATGGCAGCTAACAACTGTCCATAACTCCAGTTCCAGGGGATCCAACAGGCATTGCATGACACGGGTACACTTACCTACATGCAGCCAATACATGCATACATAGAAAATAAAAATAATAAATAAAATATTTTTTTAAAAAAAGATACATTTTCCCAAAGCCAGGCATAGTGACATACACTTCTCTCTGACCCCAGCACTCAAGTTCGAGACCCAGGCTACATAGCAAGTTCAAGTCCAGTCTGGACTACATATGAGACCCTGATTACCTTTCTCTCTTTAGCCACTAAATCCTGTTTTAACATAGTGATATGTATGTTTATAACTGATAGAAAAAAAAAAAAAAAAAAACTTGATGCATTATTCTCCTAGTTAGCAGTGTTCATTTAGCCCAGGACTTGGGTTTGATTCTGGCCACATTAGTGAGGAAGGAGCAGCTTTCACTCTGTTCTCTAATTGCTTTATTTACTTTTTATGAGTATTTCTGGATCTCTCAGTGGAAAGGAAATTTTGTTGTTTTGGGTTTGCTAAAACCAAATACATAAAATATCAAAAGTCCAAGTAAACTATTAAAATAGTGGCTCACGAGGCTGGAGAGATGGCTCATTGGTTAAGAGTACTGGCTGTTCTTGCAGAGGATCTGGGTTTGGTTCCCAGATCCCACATGGTGACTAACAACCATCAGTAACTCCAGTTCCAGGGGATCCATTGCCCTCTTCTGACTTCCATGGGTATTGCAGGACATGGACTCACTTACATACATATAGTACATATGTTATCTAAGCTTCTCTCACCTTTAGGCTGTGTTCCGTACAATCAGAGAACATGGTGATGAAGTCTGAGCATGCCCAGACCGTGTGTCAACTAACTTCCCAGAACGATGTGCTCCGCAGTAGTTTCCGAGATCAAGTACGACATTTGCAGGAAGAACACAGAAAGACGATGGAGACTTTGCAGAACCAGCTCTCCAAGGTGGAAGCTCAGCTCTTCCAACTCAAGAGTGAACCAGCCACGAGAAGTATGTGTGTATTTGTGCAAGTGTTGGCTGTTCATGTTTTACCAAATTTACATCACTTAAGAACATCATTCACAAATTCATGAGAAAGTAAATTTACTGCATAGCAACCTGTAATTCATGAAATTTTGGATTTGCTTAAATCTGAACTGTTTGAACCCTTAATTATTTATACTTAAAGCAACATATTTGACTTCTTAGAATACTGAATTTCATGTACTTCACTAAATAAATGTAAATAAAGTATTTCTTTTTCCCTGGCTTACACATACTTGTATCAGTATATGGCACAGATCCTAAGTCTAGCATTTACCACTTGATGCTTGTTCAGCAGTAATGTGGTTGATCATCAAATGCATCTGTTCTTTGTTAGAAGTGTTAGGGGTAGAGCAAGGGACTTAAAAACAAACCAAGTGGCACTGTTCTTGTAGACTCTTCATCAGTACAGCATCTTTCAGATTTCTAGATGGAGTTTTAATTCAGCCATACCCACTATCTTCTCTTCTGCTTCCAGAGAGAGATTAGAGCATGTCAGCCATGGTGATGATGTATTTTAGTCTAAGTTCGTAGAGCTTTGTTTCCCTTGGAAAATGTCACTGGAGCATTGGCAGACAAGGGTCACTCAAAGAATCTGGATTAGAATTCTGGTCCTTCACTGAGTTATAGACCTTCGACAGAGTCAGTACATTTCTTTGAACTTCAGATTTCTTGGGATCAGTAAAGGACTATATTTGGAAAATGTCTTTGAGCTTCAGAGTTCTGTGCAAGTATTCATTGTTAGTCAACAGGAAATCTTTCCTATGAGCTATAATTGATTAGTTCTCCACACTGAACTCTGGACTCTGTCATCTGAACTCTATAGATGCAAGCAGGTAATACTGGGAATCAACCAAGATGGAGGTGTGAGGGCAGTGACAGAGGCCCGCAGACAAGCCTGTGATGTACTTCAGAAAATAGGCAGAGATAGGAGGTAGTGAAGCCACAAAATCAGCTAGACTAGCTTTCAGATTTCTCCCAATCTTTAACAATAGCATACCTTTCTGCTATAAGTTAATAAAAAATAAGTGTTATCCAGCTGTTTATCTTAGCCTGCAAGTAGCTATTAATGTATAGCTTCTGTTGAAATGACTAAAGTAGATAAAAATTCAGTGATTAAGTCTTTATAACTGCTTAGCAATTCTTTCTTCAAATACCACTTGTTTACCTCCTGGTTATTTAATTTCCTATCATTTGATACCCCCAGGGTCATCATGATTTTATTGACTGTCTTTGTTAGGACCAATTCCATTTTAAACAATTTCACCTAACCCTTTTAAAAAATACTTAACAGGCCCAGCTTCTTCCCACCAACCTTTGAAGAACCTTCGAGAAAGAAGAAACACAGACCTTCCAGTTCTAGACATGCACACTGCAACCCGGGAAGAGGGAGAAGGCATGGAGACAACTGACACTGAGTCCGTGTCTTCCACGGGCACACACACTCAGTCATTAGAGCAGCTACTTAATTCTCCTGAGACCAAACTTGGTATGTGAATATTTTTCTTATTTAATTTGGCTGCCTTCTTTAATATTAGTCTAATTTAAAAAAAAAAAAAAATTTTAGCTCTTCCAATAAGATTTTTTTTTGGGGGGGGGCGGTCTTTTGAGACAGGGTCTCCCTGTAACCCCATCTGTTTTGAAACTCACTATGTAGTCCAGGCTGGCCTTGAACTCACAGAGATCCACCTACCTCTGCTTCTGCCTCCCAAGTGCTGGGATTAAAGGCGTGCACCACCGCACCTGACTTAAGATCTTACAAAATAGAAGCAAATCGCCTTCAAAAATAACACTAGGACAACCCTAGACCTGAACCAGAAAGAGATGCTGGGAAGTTCTATAGTATTATTAGACGAGCTATTCTCTCAGTCATCCAAGAAGCTAATAATTTCAGTGTATTCCTTATGGTAAAGTATTAATAAATTTGCTGTAAAAATATAGTATAGTTTTGGTATACTTTTTGTTCTTACCTATAATGAATATTACTGCTCATAATTGAAGGAGATTCTCATCTTTTTAAAGCTTTGGGACCACATGGAATAGGGTCCATTTGTATCCAAGGACCAATGTGTTAGTCACCATTCTGTTACTGTGACAAAATATTTGAGAAAGTTAACTTAAGAGGAAGAATTTGTTTTAGCTTACTTACAGTTTCAGTCTGTGATCACTTAGCCCTAGCATTTTGGCCCTGTGGCAAGGCAGAACATCATGGTGGGAGCACATAATAGAGGAAGGTATTCACCTTATGGCAGCTAAGAGTGGAGAGATACAGGAATGAGCAGGGGTTGTCTGAAACATACAAACCTTGAGGGGCTTTAGGACCTTTCTCAAATTGTACTACCACAGAAATCGCTTCATATGTCTGTGACATATAAATCTTTTTGATTGAAGTATATAGTATAGATGTATGGCAAAGAGAATAGACTCATATGGTATCGAAAAGTAAGATATTTAATTATTTTATTCAGATCTAGTCTCTGATTTTTAAAACTAATTCTTAGAACAACATCTTGCAGAGCCTCCTTTATGGCATGCTGAATTTACCAAAGAAGAATTGGCTCAGAAGCTCAGTTCCACCTCAAAAAGTGCAGATCATTTAAGTGGCCTGCTTCGGGAGACAGAAGCCACCAACGCCATCCTTATGGAGCAAATTAAGGTGACATCAAAAATCTGGTCTGCTGTGAAGTTGTCTGCACCAGTTGATTTTCCGACTGTGTACAAATACCCAATTTTTTAAAATATTTATTATTATTTTATGTGTATGCGTGTATTGCCTGCATGGAGGTAAGTGCACCTGTGTCGTGCAGTGCCTGCGGGGGTCAGAAGAGGCTGTCAGATCCCCTGGAACTGGAGTTAGGACAGCTGTTAGCTGCCATGTGGGTGCTGGGATTTGAACCAGGGTCTTCTGCAGGAACAACCAGTGTTTTTAACCACTGAGCCTTCTCTCCAGCCCCACAATTACCCAATTTTATAACTAGATTTCTCACAATAAAAAATACTGCTTTTATATCTGCTAAACACTGTTAATTCCTACTTTTTCTAAGAAAGCTTTAGAAATCGGAGATATTTACAAGTCATTACTCCACATTTGCTCAAGCATAGGTCCTTGAGTCCTAAAGATGAACATTGGAGCACCAGTAATTCAGGTCCTTGGCTGCTGCCCATGGCTCTGAACTGCTTTGTAGGTAGAAAGCCTAGTAGCTCAGGAAGTGCCCAATATTTAAAGTCAACACTAGGAACGTCTTAGAATATTGGAGAGCAGCTCCGTTGAAGATTTCTCTTTTCTCCCTCTCCCTTTCCCTCCCTCCTTCCCCCTTCTTCCCCCTTCTCTCTTGAGACAAAGCTAAAGGTGCTCTAGAACTTGTTATGTAGCTGAGGATTGCCTTGAATGTCTGATCATCCTGTTTGTACCTCCCGAGTGCTGGATTGATTATAAGCATGTAGTACCACCCTGGCTTACCAGTAAATCACCTCAAAAAATAATGATCCAAGTCCTGAACTTTACATGTATTATCTTAATATAATGACTTGAGAAGATTTAAGGGCTTTATTTTTTAATTTTTAATTTTCTTCATTTTTCATATAATCATTCCGCATTTTTCTAGTAGTAGTTTTACAGTGTCTCGTGCTCTTTAATATTCCTGAACTCAGCTTCTGTTTTAGTAAAGTACTGTTCATGTTGGGCATCCTCACAGCCTGGGCTCTCCATGCAGGACAGGGGAACGGAATTGTGAAGGCTACAGATGTTTACCTCAGTACCTGCGTTGACACCCCCTCCTCACGTTCAACTCATGGCCCCCAGAGTAGAAGGTGGGAGGAGCATTGGGAGGAGCAGCTTATGGCTCTAAGTACTCATTCAGTGCTTCCCATCAGACCCCAGTTGTCAGCCCCCATTTCTTGTGGTGCCCTGTGCTTCTGAGGCAAGAATTTCTCCTTTATTACTTTGGATGGATCTTTTTGTCTGTCAGTGGTATCTAGAAAACAGCCAGGTGGAAGCACTTGCATTTGTTCATGTGTTTCCTATCTTGAAGTGTCTTGATCGCTCTCATTCTTGTCTCCCCTCTTAGCCCCTCCTTTATTTTCGTGTGGTAGGGCAGTGTTCGGGGGAAGAAAGGTGCATGTGTTCGGTCTGCCGTATTTAATGAAAAGCTCCTCAAAACCATTTTAAACTAATTTCTCTAATACCAGCTTCTGAAAAGTGAAATAAGAAGATTGGAAAGAAATCAAGAGCGAGAGAAGTCAGTAGCTAACCTGGAATACTTGAAGAATGTCCTGTTGCAGTTTATTTTCCTCAAACCAGGGAGTGAAAGAGAGAGGCTTCTTCCTGTTATAGACACAATGTTGCAGCTCAGCCCTGAAGAAAAGGGAAAACTTGCTACAGTTGCTCAAGGTATGTGAATGGACTCACTCCTTGCGTTTGACCCTTTATACTAGCCATTGGCCTTGCACTTGAAAACTTCTGTTTGTGCTTGTGACCTTTTTATGTCTTTCAAAGTTGTCATTTCAATTTTTTTCTCTTGGATTATTTCTATCATACATGTAACTAGATTTGACTTTCTAATACTTGGGGGCAATTGTAGTACGTGGACAAGCTCAACATTCACCAGAATACAATACAATGCCCAGTTTGATCTATTTGAAAGTTGGGTCTGTATTCTGGTGTTGAGTGGAATGAGTTTTGTTTCTAGCATGTAGTGGCACATTCTTCTCCTCCTTCCACTTGCAGACAGTGCAGGGATAACAGTCATATGGCCCAATACTTTGTCTCTATCTACAGTCTACTTTGCAGGTGAATTTAGAGTTAAAGCAGTCCTGTAGTAGAACTTAAATTTTGTTAGTGTCAGTTAGATTCAGTAGTATTTCCCAAAACGCCTTTGAAATGCAGTAGTTAATATACTTGATTTCATGCTGCATGATGGTTTCATTTTGTTTGAAATGTTTTTATTCTCAGGCGTACAGAGAAAATAACAGTAATGTCCTTTGTAGCTGTCATCAACCTCTAAGAGTTTCAAACATGGCCAGTTTTTTTAGCAGAAGTAGGGGAGAGCTCAAGATTTGTAAAGTAAAGCCCACCCACCATATCATCTCCCTGGATCCTTCCTTCTTGCCCAGCTCTTGTTCGCTGCCCCTGTGTACAGCATGTGTACAATGTCTTGTAGTAGTATACCACATAGGCCTCATACACTGCATTTAGTTAATCTTCGAGTTTGTTTTGTTATATCTTGCTTTCAGGGTTTTGTTGAAGGGTTGCAGGAGGTTCTGTTACTCGGATTTTTTTCAGGGGTTCCCCCCTCCCCCTTTTAGTTGCAGTAAATCATATTTCTTTATTTAATATTCCATTTATTGTTTGAAGAAGTTGATCATTTGTTCTATAGCAATTCAACATTCTGAATTTGGCATTTCACAAGAGCATTGCACTTATTCAGGTATTGCATTATATAGGAAGTTAGCTTTCTGATTACATCCTGGAACAACTGGGAGGAGTGAGCATCAAGAATACCTTATCTGTAGAACTCCGCACTTACTAGGACATTTGAGAGAAGCAGCTTGAGAAGGGAACTGAAGGAGAGATTGTAACTGGCCAGAGGTGCCTGGGTTTGTGCTGAAATCATCTTTGTGTATGTACCTTGGAAGTAAACATTTTTAATAAATAGCAGCATTATTTACAATAGTAAAGTTCTGAAAGGAGAGGAAGAAAAAGAACAGGACAGAGACAGTAAATGAAGAGAGTAGCTCAGTTTCTCCAGAACGGATGAAAGAAGCCAGTGCAGAACTTCAAAACCCCAATAAAATTCAAGCAGGAAAGAAAAGAAGTCTGCCTCTATTCATGTAAGTTTAAACACACACACACACACACACAAACACAAACTAAATTTAATAATGTACTGGGATTGAAGTATGTATCACCACTCTAGGCTCCAGTACCATGTTCATAAGAAATTTAGAATAATAATTGTGTCTTTTATATGGCCTTTGGTCATTGGAATAGACATTTTGTTTATGCTGTATAGTGATTTCATATGTAGATTTCACATTGAGAAATTTGATTTCTTTTTTTTTTTTTTTAATTTCCTAAAGGTGAGGAAGAGAATGCTTCTCGTTCCTCTGGATGGGCATCCTATCTACATAGTTGGTCTGGACTTCGATAAATTGATGGAAAGAAAATTCTCTATTGACTCAGTAGAATCTATTTTTTTAAAAAAATGGTTCGCATTATTAATCATTCTTTTGTTAGAAAGTATGTATATCTGTTCACATCCTCTGACTTTGTATATATGTATAGCAGATGTATTTAGAATTTCAACTTGGAGAAAAGTACAATAGCTTGAAGCGAGGGTACCAGTTGTCCCCAGCCCTCTAATTCAGCACCATGGATGTACAGTCTGTGGTCTCCCGTACACATCCCTGGATGAGAAAATGAGGAAACAGTTCACTTCTTCACACAGGAGCCACAGGAACCACCCATGTCTACTACTGTGAATTTTGAAATTGAAGTAAATTTTGATACCATCCCAATTGGGAAGTTGAATTAGCTTCTAAAATAATGTTTCAAGATTATTTGTTAATAAATTGATGAGAAAATTTGGTAGTTAGCATCTGAAAGACATGCTTTATTGGTAAAGTTGACACGTTTATTAAGGGATTATGAAGTAAATATGCTGCAGTTAATTATGAGTCTAAGTTAAATTGCAGTTTAGCTAGTTGCTTTAAAATAAACTTCTCTCTCTCTCTCTCTCTCTCTCTCTCTCTCTCTCTCTCTCTTTCAAATATGCTATTTCAAAACTCAACTATGTTATGGGAAGCCCTGGTGCTGCTGGTGTGACACAGAATAAATATGAATAAATATGTCCCCTTCAGCTGAGGGCTTCTGCAGTGTCTCCAGGCTCTGACTGTGCTGCCACTACTTATAAGTCATGAGTCTCTGCTAGTTCTCTGCGTCTCCCCAGATGAAAACATCTCAGAACAGTGACTGTCGTACTAATATCATCAGCTCTACAGTGAGCCTGGTGCTTCCAGTGTGCTGCACCCGGGTAGTCTGGTTCCCTGCACATGCCCTCCAGAGGGTTGGGGCTCATTGTGTGGTCACAGATCTGATGAGTAAGGCTCGCTGTGGGAGTATTACCTGCCTTTGATGTTGCTGGAAATAATCTATTGACTAGATTAAAATTTTGCTCTTAAATTTAAGAATTCTATTTTTAATATTTATTTGTTAATAAGTAACCATTATAGTATGCTCTCTGAAGTTGTTAAGGCTTACAGTTAATACTCTGATTTCCATCTCAGCTGGAAACCTGACTTCAGTTTACTAAGAATACTGGTTTCCAACCTAGTTTAAGTGAAATTTGCTACTGACATGTTGAGTTTGTTCTTTTAAAACTGCCTCTTAATGTTCAGTCCTCGTTAGAAAAACGGACCTAACTAGTGAATGTATTAATTAAATTCATCCGTCTCAGAGCTGACTTTAGAAGTTCAGTGGTTTTTTTAACTTCATAAACTGTGAATATGCGCATACCAGCAGCATACAGTGTGTAACTAAACTTTTTCTTTAAACCTATGCCTTTTGAATTCTGTATAAACTTGTTTTGAAATATAGTCTGTATGTATGAATATAATGACAAAAATACCTTTTCTGCATGGTAAAGATTACTTTGATTACAAAAGACATATATACTTTTTATGGCTTCAGTGATGAAGAAATGTGGCCGGGCGTGGTGGCGCACACCTTTAGTCCCAGCACTCGGGAGACAGAGGCAGGGAATCTCTGAGATTGAGGCCAGCCTGGTCTACATAGCCAGTTCCAGGCCAGTTGGGGCTACAGGGAGACCCTGTCTCAAAAATAACAACAACAAAAAAAAGCAATGAAGAAATGTAATGATTATTTTAGTATTTCTATTAAATATGTTTAACTGTATATTACATTGTTATGGCTACTCTTTCTGTTAAACACTCCATGGTTGGGACCTGTTGGTACTTAAGAAGTTGTGCTACCGATGGAGCTGCTCAGGAATTTGAGGCCAGCCTAGTGAGACCACCTTCCCCCAGTCTCTTAAAAGAATACAGACCAACTGTTCAGCATATTCAAAGAAACCATGGCACCTGCTATTGTGACACTCCTCCCAGCTGGATCTGGAAGCAACACTTTGCCTTTCTTTGGGCAGTATTGACATTGGTTTGAACAGGGACGGATACCTGAAAGCTTCAGCCTCAGGTAACCTCAGAGTTCATGCAGAGCCCTTTGAGAATTTGGACTGGGATATGGGGAGAGGCAGATTGGAGAGGAGCACAAGTGCTGGAGAGACACGGACAAGCTGCACCGTGGAAGTGAGCATGGCCCCACGTCTGGCCGTTAACAGATGTGGAGGAGTTTATGGTTTAGTTCAGTGTTTACCTACATTGTGCCCTGGGTAACCTGTATTTTGAGCCTTTCTACCTACCCAGAGCTGGGACTGAGATCCAGATTTCCAGGACAGATAGAATTGAAATGCCTTTAAAAATACCTTTTTATGTTTAAGTTAGCATACAAAGTGATGGGTTTCATTGTGGCATTTCATACATATATTTCATTATACTTTTTTTCCTCTAATTCCTTGCTGTTCTCCCTCATCCAGTCGGCCTCCTCTTACTGGACCCCTTCCTCTCCCCAGATAGTCCTCTGTTCTGCTACCGTGTCACATGAATCCTAGTCCCTTCTCTTTTTCTCCTCTTTCCTACAGATCTTGTCATCCCCTCTTATGGTCTCTTCCACTTGTATACCCTTCACATATGTACATATATCTATGTTTATATATGCATATATTTTGATCTATGTTCTGCATATAAGAATAAAGATACTTTTCTGAGTCTGGCTTTTTTTTTTTTTTTTGCTTTAATGTGATCACCAGTTTCATTTTTCTGCAAATGTCATAATTTCATTTTTTTCTTTATGGCTGCATAAAATTCCATTGTATATACGTACCAAATTTTCTTCATCTGTTGATGAGCAGAAATCTAGGCTGGTACCATTTCTTACCTGTTGTGGATAGAGCAGCAGTAAACATGAATGTGCATATATCTCCATGATATGTTGACTTAGACTTCTTCACATTATATACCCAGGAATGCTATAGCTAGATCTTAACTAATAGTTCTATTTTTAGCTTTTTGACCCATCCTCCACAGTGGCTGCACCAGTTTACATTCCCACCAGTAGTATATAAAGGTTCCTCTTTCCCCACACCCTCACCAGCATTTGTTTTCTTGATGGTAGCTATTCTGACTGGGATAAGATGGAATGCCAAAGCAGTTTTAATTTGCATTTCTCTACTTTCTATGGATGTTGACCATGTTTTCAAATATTTATTGGCCATTTGTAATTCTTTTCAGAACTGTCTATTGACATTGGCCTGCTTAATGACTGGAGGATTTGTCTCTGATGTTTAATTTTTGCAGTTCTTTATATATCCTATATATTAATCCCCTGTCTGATGTGTGGTTGGTGAAGACTTTTCCCAGTTTTGTGGATTGTCTCTTCACTGGTGATTGTTTCTTTTGATATGCAGAAGGTTTTTAATTTCATACAGCCTCATGTGTCCATACTTACACTATGGAGTGTTGTTCAGAAAATCCTTGCCTGTGGCTTTCTGTACTGTCTGGCCTAAGTTGCCTAGCAGCCCAAAGTTTTAGGTCTTACATTAAGATCTTTGGTCCATTTTGAAATGATCTCTATGTAGGATAAGAGGTGGATCTAGTTTCATTCTGCATGTGGAACTCCGGTTTTCCTGGCACCATTTTTGAAGAGGTTATAGCTGTACAGGTTTCCTTCCGTGTCCTCTAGCTTATTCCATTAATCTACATGGCTGTCTTTGTGCTAGTACCATGCTGTCTTCACTACTATGATTCTAATATAATTTGAGGTAAAGGAATTGGGATGCCTCCAGTATTGCTCTTTCTGCTTAGAATTCCTTTGGCTATTCAGGGCCTTTTGTGCTTCCATGTGAATTTTAGGATTTTTTTCCCCAGGTTCTGGGAAGAATGCCATTGGAATTTTGACAGGAATTGCATTTAATTTATAGGTCACTTTGGACAATATAGCCATTTTCACAGTAGTAATTCTTCCAGTCCATTAGCATGGGATGTCTTTGCATCCTCTTTCCATCTTTTTTCAGTATCCTAAAGTTTTCATTAAAGAGCTCTTTGATTTCCTTTGTTAGATTTAGTCCTGAGTTCTGTTGCTTTGTTTTTGGTTTCTGCTTTATTTTGTTCTGTATTTTTGAAACTATTGTGAATGGAAGTCATATTGTGTCCCCCCACCACCCAATTTGTTGTCAAGTTCATCAGTATATAGAAAAGCTATTGTGTTTTTGTGTGTTTGTGTGTGTGTGTGTGTGTATGTGTGTGTATGTGTTTTAATGTTGATTTTGTATCCTGCTACTTTGCTCAAAGTCTCTGTCAGGTGTAAGGGTTTTCTGGTGGAGTCTTTAAGGACTTTAAAGTACAGGAACATGGCATCTGTGAATCTAATTACTTCGGTTTCTTCCTTTCCTATTTGTTTGGGGTTTGTTTGTTTAGAATTGGGTCTCATCCTCAAGATATTTGTGTGTATGCAAACACCCCCAAACACAAAATAATTATTTTTTTGATTAACATGCACAGTAACTAGTTTCATACATTGTTTTGGTTGACTCCCCCACCCTGGTTCCTCTGCTCCATCTCACTGCCCCCATGTCCCCATTTGTACTCATCCACCCTCAGTATCCCCTCTTTCACTTTAATACCACATGTATTGTACTGCCCTCCTTATCCCCCCTCTTTTAAAGCCTCTTTTCCCTCCAATGGGCCCACATCTAGCTTCATGTCCTCTTCACATACTTCCACATATACATATAAAAATTAAATTCGACATATGAAAGAGCATATGACATTTGTAATTCTGAGCTCTGGTTACCTCATTGAATATAATATTTTCCAGCTATCTTGAAATTTTCATAATTTCATTTTTCTTTATGGCTGGATAAAACTACATTGTATATATGTACCACATTGTTACTATCCATTCATCTGTGGATACACATCTAAACTGATTACTTTTTCTTGAAATTGTGATTACAGCAACAATAAACACGGATGTGAAAGTATCTCTGTGATAGAATGTACTCTTGGGTGTGTGCTCAGAAGTAGTATAGCAGCTCTTTTTAATTTTTATACCTTTTCCATATTTCTCTTACCTTGTTCTTCATCTTAGGACTTCAGGGATGACACTGCGTCAGAGTGGAGAAAGTAGGCACCCTTGTCTCACTCCAGGTTTTAGAGAAAGTGGTCTCAGTTTTTTGCTGTTTAGTATGTTGTATATGATCTTCATTATGTTAAAGTATGTTCCATCTGTTCCTAGTTTCTTCAGGACTTTTATCATTAAGGCATACTGAACCTTCTCAAATGCGTTTGCCACATCTATCAAGATGATTGTGTGATTCCTGTCTTTAAGTCTATTGATACTACATTAATTACATTTATTGATTTATGTTGAATCAACTTTACATCCCTGGGGTGAAACCAATTTGATTGTGATGTATGATCTTCTTAATGTGATCTTGATTTCCGTTTATGAATATTATGTAGGGAGTTTTTGCCTCTATGATCATCAGGGGATAGCAGTATAGTTTGTTGTTGTCTCTTTATGGCATAGTTTTTTTTGTTGTCTCTTTACCCAGTCTTGGTATCAGGGTAATGCTGACTTCATAGAATGACTTTGATAGTGTTCCTCCCTATTTTATGGAGCAGTTTGAGAAGTGTTAGTATTATATCTTATTTGAAAGTTTGGTGAGAGGCTGGAGAGATGATGGCTCGGTGGTTAAGAGGACTTTCTGCTCTTTCAGAGGACTCAAATTGAGTCCCAAGTACCCACATCAGATGGCTCACAACACCCCGTAACTCCAGCTCCAAGAGATCTATGCCCTTTTCTGGCCACCTCAGGCACCCACGTGCACATGCAGAACCTAACACACACATACATACACACAAATAATAAAAAAAAATTTTTCAAAGTTTGGTAGATTTCAGTAGTGAATCTGTCTGGTCCTGTGCTTTTCTTTATAAGTAAACTTTTAGTTACTGCTTCCATCATTACTTTTTGTGATTCTGTTTACGTTGTTTATATCTTCTGATTTTAATTTTGGTAAGTCATGTGTTTATAAATTTATTCATTTCTTATAGGTTTTCTAAAAATCACCAATCGTCTTTCCCCAGAGGTGAATTCTGCATGTGGTAATACTGACTTGCCACCCAAGATGTGCCCACTAGTGCAACAATGGCATCACTGTTAGAGGGGTAACTCATACTTCCAGTTTCATTTGAGGCCTCCTCAACAGGAAGGATTCATGCCTGGCACTATAAACCTGGCCAAAATCCAATGACTAGGGAGGTCATGGGCCCAAGGGGGACTACTGATGTTGGTGTTTCACTAACTTTTCCCCTCCCCACTGGGAGGCCTGCCCTCACTCAGGGTCTCCTGGTCCTGACATGGATTGACAAAACCAACATAATACATTCAATTGGGGTTTTGCATAGTTTATATGACAACCAGGAAAGGGGCTGACTTACAAAGACACAGATTCGCATAGGCTTTCATTTCCCATATTTGAGGTGTGTGCCATCTACTCACGGTCTCTGCGCTTTAGTCCAAAAGTGGTGACAACCCTTTTCACAGCTGTGCTTGAAAATCCACACCCAAACATACATCCTGTGGCTTCCCAACAGCCACACAAAATGGCAAGAGGTAATGGGCTTGACTCCTTCCACAGAGCATGGGAAGGAGGTGGGACCATGGCTTGTCGTCATAAGGTCAGAGGAGTTCCAGGTCACAGTTGGCCTCCAAATATTTATGTTTATACCCATAAAGTAGTGCTGCTGTCAACCCTGGTCAGAGAAGCTTCTTTTTGCAGTGGGCAGAGACCCATAACTGGTCAAAGTGCTGTGTACTCAACCCTAACTAGGACTTCTATATCAACCCCCTCCACCTCCAAGACTCAGAAAACACCACATGAGAGGGGAGAGATGGGAGGGAGTGCTGGAAAATGCTGTCAACTGGACATGATGTGGCTGCCGCACTCATAAACTCACAGCAGCTGTGGTTACAACATACACAAGATGAGACAACATTCCAGCATGAATGGGGTAGAAGTTCTACCCCTAGCTGAGGAGCTATTGGCAGTTCACAGCTTCTGGGGGACAGAGAGTCATTTTTCTTCAGTTGTGGCTGCTGGTAGGTTGTCCATCCTCAAACGGATAGCCCTACTGAAATGGCAAAACTAGCTCCATTTTATTCTGACTTTTGCTCACCCTGTGATCTCCCCCACCCTCCACCCCACTCTAACTGTAGTCAGCCAGGCAGAACAGCCATGAAGGCTGCACATGCAGTTTCAGGGAATGCATCTTTTCTACAATACTGAGAAACTTAAAACTAGCCAGGCAGAACGTTCTTTCATCCAGATATACCTGCAGTTTCGGGGAACCCATTGTTTCTGCACTTTTGAGAAACATGTTTTTCCTAACTGAAACTTGATACTTTTTGTTAACTGAAAACCTCTTTATTAACTGGCCTGCCCCTGGCCTGATGTAACTGTGGTTTTAAGCTTTATAAACCCTGCCCTGCTTCTCCTCGGGATCAAGAGTTCTTTCTGGCCTTAGCTTGCTCTTGACCACTAACCACTAACAGCTAGAAAGAACTCTCCATCCCAGCTATTATTAAAGGACTCAATTCAGCTTCACGAGGTGGCATTCCTCTGTGCTTCACACTTGGTATTGCACTACACCCATGAGCATGCAAGAAGCACTAACTGAACTCAGTGAATTATTAAGAAAAAAC